AGCATTCTTTTTCAGGCACTACCAATCAAATACTTCAGACAATTGTTGTATTTGATTGCCCTACGACGTTTTTTTTTTCAATAATAATAATAAAAATAAGGAACATGTGCAGTGTTGTTGATCTGATTTTTGACATTACCCGCATGAAATTTGAAAAAAAAAACATTTTTACCAATTATCCTTAAAGGAGTACGTCAAAATTTTACCTCCAGTTTTCAATAACGGTGTTCAATTATTTAAAAATAAAACGTTAAGCGTAATGTCATATTTTCAAATGTGAAATGTCCCTATTCATTGCCTTTTTTTCGATATTTGGTTTTTCGATTTTTCGTTTTTTGGATTTTTCGATTTTTTATTTTTCGATTACTCGATTTCTCGATTTTTCGACATAAAAACCAAAAAAAAGGCAGTTTTATTTATTTTCATTTCGTAATTGGTGACATAATCAACTTTTCGTAATCAGTTGCATAATGTTCTACATTATGCAACTGGTTGCATAAAGTAGATCGTTTTGGCACTTGCTGTGATTATAAAATATATTACTTTATATGTCAAAATTAGAGAAAATAAAATGTAATTAAATGGATAGATCCCATATTATTATAGAGCAGTGTTTCTCAAACATTTTTGGGGACGGAACCTTTTTGAAAAGCGAAATATTTGACGGGGCCCTCAACACATAAAACACATAATTTAAAAAATATTTTTCAGATTTTTCTTCATTTTGACTCTCATTTTGACTTTCAAAGGTAAACGTGATAAAAAATTGGCTTCATATTATGCTCCGATTTTACATATTCAATTTTATAATTGTAATTTGACAATATTACTGCCCATCTACGTAGTCTGTTGGCTGAAAATGGGGGTATACCTTTAGCTGGGTTAAAAATAGTTACCAGAGGTAAGTAATCTGTAACTAGGATAAAGAAATGTCTATATAAATATTCATTAAATTTATTTAAGCCAAAAATTATTGCAAGGCCCTCTCTTTCAATTTGGGAATATTTTTGTTCGGACTTTGATAAGATACGCGAAGCAGAAGCTATAGATTTCTCAATATTTTTTTCAAAAACATGACATATGGCCCTTATTCCCACATTTGATGCATCTACGATTAATTTAATCGGCAACTCAGGCTGAAAATGCATAAGAACATAATTTGTTGTTAATTTATTTTTGATTAATTCCAAAGATTCCTTTTCACCCATAACAAATAAAATAAAAAAAGTCCTAAAGCAAAATCATATCCTCCTTTCTCTTAGTGACTTAAAAAAATTACTTCTCAAAAAAAGGTCCTCAAGCCAGGTCCCTCCATTTTGTGGAGATAGTACTGTTTTTTTTATTATGATTATTTTCTTCGCGGAGTCCTCACAAAGGCTTTGCGGATCCCCAGGGCTCCACGGAGCACACTTTAAGTAACCCTGTTATAGAGAAATACTAAATAAATAGTTTTGAAAAAACTATTGAAACCAGTTGTGAAGTTTGAAATGAATAAATTGGCAATGAAATTGATTGTATATTTCTCTTTCCACTTCCTGAAAACAGATTCACCATGAAACAAGAAATAGTAAACAGTTTATAAAAATAACCTTTATTTGCTACTTATAACATGTACCAATGACCAAGTCCGATTCTGTTTATTTTCAAATCAACAAATATGGACGTCGACAGAACCTTTAAAAATTAAATATCTCACCGAAATAAATATAAGTTTCTTTTATCTCCATCACATTTCGCACTTTTATTATAAATAAAGCTTTCTACAACACATCTTGGCATTTTAAACGTTAATTTCCAAAATTTAAGTCACTAAAATACCAAATTAATTCTCGTTGACACATTAAATTTGGATGGACAACGCTCTGACATGTGATGTTCTCAACTGTGATTGGTGGGTGTGAATAATTTCGAAATGGGATTATGCGCATTCTCTTATGTTCCATCTAAGGTTTGTATAATCTAAGGTTCTATCACAATGTATATATTGTGCACCTGTTTATGGCCCTTGTTTTTACATGGAGACCATAAATAGGGTACAACGTGTTCAGAACTCCTGTATTTGAGTGAGTTCCCCACAAATTAAAAAATCTAAAATGACTTTCAATGATGGAAAGATACAAATTAAAGTTGTTTGTTATATCATTATATTATATTTGTTCTATACATGATTTTTCTAAAATGAACTGTAATGGAAAAATTTGAGGAAAAGTGTAAAATTTTAATCTTTCGATATTTTCGTTGGCAATGAATATATATAAAAAAATGTTTCAATATGTGTATGGAAACTGTATGTGTTTAGTTCAACCTCTAAACATTTAAGGGGTTGATAAAATAGGTTGTACAAAATAATCGGGAAAATCCTGTAATAACTAGACAGGAAAGCGGCGCGGCTTAGCAGGTTCACTTATTGTGTATCAATATCTGCAATGAAGCCAGGCCCAGCGCAGTTAGTACAAAATTTTTCTAGTTTGCATCTTTTATAGTTAGCAAGCTGAAAAGCAGCAATTTTTACTTTCCTATCTGTATACAGATATAAGGAAAGTATAGGAATCATGATTTTTTTCGACCTCGAGTTTTCGACGGATTTTTACGTTTTGAGGTCCCCTGAATCCGTTTTGACTATTTTCGCGATGATGTCTGTGTGTGTCTGTAGGTCGCATAACTCATGAACCGATACACAGAAAAACACCAAATTTTAAACTTAAGCTTTGTTTCAGCGTCCAATGAGCTGATTAGATTTTGGGCAGAGTCGGAACATCTGGGGGGGTACTTTATAGGTGGTAATTTTTATATTTTATGGAATATATCTGTTATTTACGTTTGGAGAAGAAAATTCTTCAAATAAAAGTTACTTCTTATATAATTATCTATAATTTTTGTTTTATGCAAAATTTTCCTAAAATGGTCCGTATTCGAGAAATTTGACAAAATGTAAAAAAAATAATTTTTTATAAAAATTGTTCAAATAAAAGTTGTTTGTAATATAATTCTCTATGAGTTTTATCCTATAAATAATTTCTCTAAAATGGACCGTATTCGAGATATTTGAGAAAATGTGTAAATTTCGAATTTTGAAGAAAACTCAAAAACGGATAAAGGAAAAAACATTAAATTTTAAACTTAAGTTTTATTTCGACCTGAGGTAAACTGATTAGATTTTGGACAGAGTCGGAACATTTGGGGGGGGTACTTTATTGGTGGTCATTTTTATATTTTATGGAATAAATTCGTTATTTACGTTTGGGGAAGAAAATTCTTTAAATAAAAGTTACTTACAATATTATTATCTATAATTTTTGTTCTATGTCAAATTTTCCTGAAATGGTCCGTATTCGAGAAATTTAACAAAATGTGCAAAATTCTGATTTTTAAGAAAATTGTTAATCTAAAAGTTGTTTGCGATATCGATCTCTATAATTTTTGTTTTTAAATGACTTTTCTAAAATGGACCGTAATGGAAAAATTGGAGGAAAAGTGTTAAATTAAAATTTTTCAGTATTTTCGTTTTCAATGAATATCTATAGAAAAATGTTTCGAGGTAGATGTATGTGGAAAATGTATATATTTAGTTTATCCTCTAAACATTTTTAGAGATGCTGCAATAGGTTAACTAGATAGGAAAGTCATGTGTTGGACACATCAGATTTTTAATTAGTGTATTTGAAGTGGACAATATCGTGGTGTCAAGATACACTCAACATTGTACCTTGCGCCGCCCCTGCAGCATTGCACCTTAGCAAACCCTGTACAATTAAGTCCATAACGTTGAAATAGACAAAACGATTACGTTACTTCCTTGTGATATATAAGCGTCACTTCATAACCAATAAAATATGTTCCACAAGTCAAGTGACACCACCACGCAAAAAGATGATTGGTCAGTCAGTTAAAAGTAGAAATTGCTGCATTTTCACTGGTAAAGCTCAGTTTTTACTTTTCTTCGATAGGGAAGTACTCTCACATACATACATCGCTACACTTTAAAACCGCCATGCGCTAACATGCCGGCATTTTTCAGTCAAACATAAAACATTTAAATTCAAATCCAGTGATTACCTTTCGAAGCAAACACAAATTGTATATAGTTTAGGAAGATACTTGTGAAACTGTGATGTATACAAAATATTTTTTATGTCATACTAGTTCATTATTGTGTTTTTATTGCTTAGTTACCAACTATCTAATGTCGTACTTTATGCCCGTGCGGGCATAAAGTTCACTTTATGGCCCGCGCGGGCCTAAAGAGAAATAATTTTTTGTTTAACTTATTTAATAACCTTTATTAAGGAAATTACAAACGGAATATAGTAATACATGTAAATATTCGATGAACATTATTTCGTTCATTTTGACTTCTAACTTTGACACATATATAAAAACTATTGTGATTTTATGACATTTACGTTTGTCAACATTCACCTAGCAACGATAGTGTCTACTATTATAAAATGGCAATTTTATTAATTCAAACAGAATTTTTTAAAATACTGATTTATATTGAGATTGGATTGCAATAACGAACTAGTACGACATAAAAGTTTGTATGTACCGCGAGCATAAACAGATGTGTATTCCCTCGGGCGACTTACAAACCCTCGGGCCAGAGGCCCTCGGGTTCGTAAGACGTCGCCCTCAGGGCATAAACATCTATTTATACCCTTGGTACATAAATAACTAAAAAGGTTCAGTAATAAGATGTGAATTTGAATACAGCCGCACCTTCTAGGAACCAGCACATCAGAAGATCAAAAGGCATGTCTCAAGCTACAGTTCATTAAGATCATGATCGGATTTGACTTTATTTAACAATGGGAAAATATTCGGCATTAGTCCCACATGCCGGTATCTACCATAATACCAGTATAATCACTGAAGAGGGAACTTACCTTTTAACGTGAGAGCCGAAAACACGTACACGCGAGACGCTGCAATACTGAATGGAATTGTTACAACAAAAACCAACTTATTTGTTTTCTATTTTATTTAATTACAATAATACAACCTTTGTTATATAGGTACTTTAAGTTTTTTACTATCCTAATAATACAAATAAAAAATAACAGCGTGTGTACCCATAAACAAAAACTAAACGACAAATGCATACATATTTGTACCAAAGTGATATACAAAAGTGAGAAGTAGGCAAAACATGTGCTACATCTGTCAATGACTAGATCCAATTTGAAAATTCGTAGTTGTTCTATCACATGACATTTCAGTTGGATCAACAGGCAACATTGACCTCATCAGTCTTATTACTATGTACATTTTGCTTGCGACTTAAAACTAATCTAATAGTCACTTATTAGCTCACTGTGAAAAGTGATTCGTCGCTTTTTTGCTTTTTTTTTTGTAGATATACCATGTCCAGGAGGTCAGGTCGGACCTGTGAAGTTTTAAGTAAATATTCGCGGAATTTTGTTTCTTTGTAATTGTAAATCATATAAAAAAACTCTGATGTCATAAAAAAATTCAGTAATTTAAAAATTTTAAAACTTATCAGCAAGATTTGAATATAATATTTTAAAGGTAGTTCTTCCAATATAGTCAATTAAAAATCAATAACCCACATAATTCTGTATCAAATAAGATAAAAAGGAAATATTTTTGACTACATTAAAAAAAGAGATTCAACGACATATTTCGAATTGACATCCTAAACATGAGTAAGTACTTTACACTTAACAATGTCACTGTCTTATGCTAAAGAAAATTTAGAATTTAAGAGTTCACGATATTTTGTACAAAATATGTGGGGCATAAATATAAAACAGTGGATGGACGAAAAATACTAATATGATTTACAGTGGCAGTAATAAATGCAACATTTCTTTGAAATATATTCATATTTATATCAGAAATTGGATTAAAATTAATTATTAAATAGTAACTAACGTTACAAGGCAGGCAACACATTTAAATTATCAGAGAGTTCATTTTTGTTGCCAATCTAATGCACTAATGACATTTTGTGTGTTTTATAAAGCGCAAAATCATAAAAGATGAACTGTCACAGCACATAACCTCTAAAAAATCTTAATTAATATTATAGAGTGAAATGTGTCAAATTCCAGAGCCACCGTTCCCACCGCACCGACATAGTAGAACTTGTTCATCCCCCTCCCCTGGACTCAACTACAAAAAGCGGGCAAAAAAAAAGCAACGTGTCACTTTTTGCAGTCAATAAACAAGGTTAATGTTATGAAAATAAAAGAGGATTGTTATGCTGTCATACTTAAGCCATTTTATGCGTTAGTGACAGCGTGAATGTCAAAATAATTAATATTTGGAATCTGTGAATCATACCTGGAATTGATGCATCATGTCAGATATCGACAATGCATCACATTTTGTCTTTGGTAAACTTTCATCGACATAAAACATGGGTTTGTTATTAACAACGGATTTAAATTAATTATGAACAATATTAATAAAAGTATGAAAGAAGCACATTTATACCGGGTGACAATGAGACATAATTTCGAACTGACACTTTTATAAACAAAACGGACCACTTCCGGTTTTACAGGAAATGCCACTATAAGTTTAATTTTTTAAATGAATCAAACTGTATATTTTGTTTTTTGGAATTATAATAGTGATACCAAATTTATTTTTTTTAATTCTTGAGGTAGAATGCCATGAACTGGAAAGTAATGTTCTAATATAGCCTCGAAATAACAGCTATTTTACTGTTTGAGTTAAAAATTTCTAAAACGTGTTTTTTTTAAATGTCACTTTTTTAAATTGCACCTATTGATGCCAATTAGCCTTTAGATGAATTTTATGCAAGAGTAAGGATAACCCTTACGGTAAGATAACTACCGAAAGAGAAATCCTTGTCAAAAAGACACTGATGAGAGAGCTGGACAAAACAATCTTGTCCGCCTCCTGCAGCAAAACCAAGCCACCCACATTCAGGTCTTGGTCGCACTCTGGTGAAATTATCAGAGTAACCTGCAACGATGACCTGACGTTGGAATGGCTAAAAACCAAGGTACCAACCTTAAAAACATGGGAAGGAGCAAGACTCGCAGTTGTAATGATGGACGAGCTCCCCAAGCTCACCAAAGCCTCTCTCTGGATCCTAGGGGAAGCGCAAGCCGACCTTGACCAAAAAGAGGTTGTGCTTAGGCGTGTTGAAGGGCAAAACCCAAACTTGCATGTGACGAAATGGGGCACCTTCCACCATGAAATCAAAAAAGACCCTAAGGGCCATCTCTTCTTCGGCATCGGAGACGAAGACATGGGAACCCTAAAGGCCAAATCAATGAGGATGATCTATGCGTTCACCTCATTGACTATAAGGCCAAAGGTCGAAAAAAAAACTGAAGCGGGGCCCAGTAAGTAATTGTCTGCTGTAATATACTCGTATTGTATGTTTCTATCCAATGTTGTCAGATGTTATCATTCGCCAAATATGTCACCGATTTTAAAATCTCTATTTGTCTTTGAGAATACGGATAGTGTCAGTCGATCGACATTTTAATAGACATTATTGCTATAGCAATAGACATTATGACTAATGCGACATTTTTAATAGACATTCGAGAATAGGGCCCCAGAATTGAAACCTATCCGTCAGATATCCAATATTATCCATCTACCTTGAAAAAATCAGTTTTGGGACTTGAAGAATTAAATGTAATTCGTATTTATGCCAAATAATGTTAAATATCGGTATGTTTGACCATAATTTTCACTTCTGATCATCTGTTCTTACTTACAGTTTTCGATATTGTTAAAAAGGTATTTTCTATTGCATAAAATTCATATTTTACGACAAATCTTTTACTTGACTGAAAAAAATTGATATTTGATAGTTGTATTTTGAGTTTTAGATCCTGCAGAACTTTTTACAAAGAATAACTTTTTTGCATAAAACTAATAACAAAAAGTATCCCAAACGGTGCCGATTTAGGTGGACCAAACATATTTATTGTGCCAACTTAGGTGGACAAACTATAATTTTGATTTGGGAAAGATTAAAATTAGCCACTTTCATAATAATATGTAATTTGAACCGTTAGTGTCTAAAAAATATACAGGGTGTCCCGAAATTAGACGCTCATAGTTTAACAGCACAATCTACATCCTAAAATAAGAGTAAAAAAAACATAAGTCCGAAACCGTTTCTTTTCCGAGATACAGGGTGTTAAATGTGAAGTCCTGATGTCACTCTTTTGTCAATATTTTCTAAACGTTTAAAGATAACTAAGTTAAATTTGGTACAAATGCTTACCTTTTTACGCTCTATTTAACGGACTAAACCCCAGTTGTTGATCATCTTCATAGGTTGATAAATTAGGGGGGGCTTAGGGTAAAATTGCCCTAAGTTTTTTTTGTTGACAGTTTTTAACATTTTTGATTATACAATTTGGAAAACCAATGTTTTCTTTATAATAAAGCTAGTTTTGTTGCATCTCGCTAGGACGCACCATTTTCAAGAAAAAAGCATTTGAAAATTTCATGATAAGTTATTCGAAAGTGTAAACAATAATTAGTAGGCCTGTGAAATCAGAAATTTTATTTTTTTTTTACTTTGGAAAACCGGTGATTAAAGAAATTTTAAAAAATATTTACAAAAATGTGCCATCAGGACTTCACTTGTAACACCCTGTATCTCGAAAACGAAACGTTTTCGGACCTATGTTTATATGAACTTTTATTCCTATTTTAGGATGTAGATTACGCTGTTAAAATATGACCGTCTAATTTCGGGACACCCTGTATATGTATGTAGGTGTATCCATTTATTTGCGGTGAAATTGAAAGTCGGCCATTCTGTTTAAGAACTCATGTCAATTCGAAATCAGATCTAGTATGTTCGGTTCCCTTGATAAATAAAAAAAATATTAAAATTAATCTCATTGTCACCCGGTATGTCTGTCAATATAAATACTAGCATTTGTACATAGTTTACAATCGATGTTTGTCGATTTAAATTTTCAAGTCACTTGAAAATCTTCATACCTACCTGTTAAAAGTAAATAAAAAAATACTTAAATCTCATTAAGTAGCTAATAATAAGCCTTGGGTATAATACTACAATAAAAGCACTTGTGTGAAAAATGTAAATGTATAAAAAAACATCAGTCGTGGCGTATGCAGGTATTTTTTTTTTTTATTTCGTTGACATTTAATAAGGAATACCTACAAGTGATACGGTGCAATTATAAAACAAATTGTTGACAACAATGTAGTTGTTTTAAATATGGCTGAAGAGCTGTTTAAAAATAATCACAAACCTGTATAGGAACGTTTTAGGTAAAAATCTTAAAAAATACGTAAAAGTAGAGTCAAATTAAATATTTTTCATTAAAAATTAAAAAAATAGCTTCTAAAACTATAGATTGTAAATGTAGAAAATATTAAAATGAAACAACTAAAAATTACTAAAATTCTCCATATTGAATTTCTGCATATTGTTTTGAACGTACGAAAATATGTACTTGTATCAGACAATCGCGTTATTGGCCAGCCAATATCAGCAAAATAATAGGATAAATCGTTAAAATTGAATACTTTAGTTCAGATATTCAAATTGTACCTATAAGCACCATAATATGATTGACAAGTTCTATTGAATTTAACATTTAAAATTTTGCATTTCAAAATCGCAATTTAGTACCTTTAAAAATAAAGGTCTCATATAGGAATTTACTTTTTAAATGTCGCAACAGATGAATGCGAATTTTTATTGAACTTAATTCATTTTAAACGCAATAATATAAAATCTTAATTTAAAATGATAAAAAATGTTCAAAAGCTTGTCTTATAACTGTTACGTTACCAGAAAAGATCACACTAATGAAAAAAGGATAGTTCTGTATCGCTTATTTCCAGATCCCTATTCTACCTTTCTGACAAAACAACATACAATGTATTCGTTTCTTTCTAATATCAAATTATCAATATTTCGAATAAAGAAGGCAAAAAAGGATAAAAGCAGGTTTACTTTTGGGCAGTGGGAGGAGGTATGTGATTTCAATAAAGGTCAGGATAGATGGGTTGTAATCTCAAATTTTGGCCTAGGGCGTAAAAGACTTTAATACAGCACTAGGGACCTGAAGAGTATCGTGTACACAGATCCTCTAACAACTGTAGAACAGTTAAAAGCATCGTATTCGAGACGATATTTGAAACATCCCTGTGGATGTGTCAACGAGTCTTCGCCAGTTTGAGGTCCAAATTGAAGCAGTGCCAGGAAGATGATCAACATTAAAAAGGCATTTTAATCATAATCTCCATGTCTTGTGATCATAAAGTTATAATTATCACTGTAACCGTACCTCTCGTTCCTTCAGAATACACGCAAGTGCGGCTTCGGACATTACATTTTTACTTTATAATATCAATAGAACTCAACTCAGTATAAACATCTTTATTGATAATAGCGAGCCACGGAAATATTTTTAACTAGAAAGACTGATTGTAAATCAGATTTTTATGTATATATTTTCGATTATAACATCAAATAATATACCAATTATGACATTGGATATTATTTATGAGTTTTAGGCAATGCACTTATTTCTGATTGTGACATTAAGTTATAATCTTATTGTTAATCAGATTCTTTATGAAAACATTCTCGATTATGATATAGAGCTATATTCCGATTGTGACATTAGATATTTATGAGTTAGCAATGCCCGTTTATGACATCGGACTATGTAAGTTCGTTAAATCTTTTAATTTAAAATTCTTTTTGGTTTTATTTATTCAAAAACTAAATTCCAGTATGAGACACAGTTTATACATTTTTTGTATATTGCTTGCGCAACCAAATACATCCTAATCTTATAAAAGTTTGATAGTTTAGATATCTGCTAATATGCAGTAGCCATGTTAATGTTAGCGTTAATTGCATCCTAATAAGTTATAGCCACGCCCTTCAGCCAAAAAAATAGGTTATGTTGCGCCAAATTAGGTATTTTTGTACCTGCTTCCGAGTATTATAATATTAATAACATCGAATTTAATTATTAATGAAAAAAGCTGAAAAAATAACGTTATCTAATTGAAACACGATAAATTTTTCATAGGTATATAATCCGATTCGCTTTTAGTATCAGCAAACCTGAAAGAAAATATATATTGTTCTTAAGAAATATGTTGGTATCATGAAATATGATTGGAATAGATATTTATTCAATTCTTACCTAGATAACCTGAAAATAGCGTCATCATAATAATATGGACTTTGAATCGAATAAAAATAAATTACCAAATTAAATAGTGTAAGAATCGCAAAGAATCTATCCCAAATGTCGATAATTGTGTTAAATTTAAATATCGCCTTTTAAGCGTCATGGTGATTTCTTATCAAAACTCTAGTATTTAAAGCCGATTTATAAACTTGCAGTTTCCGGCGCCATTACAGTTTCTTTGACGTTGCAGTCGCCGTTAAACTTAAAACTTTGCTGTATAATGATAATCTCTTGTCTACGATAGTTTCTCATGATGTTAAACCGGATATATTTCTCGATGGCGTGAATTTCTGCCTGGAAGATGCTTGGGTATTTTCCCTGTTCGGTTCTAGGCCCATACACTCCTATTCCAGTTCCTTCTATGGTTTTAGAACCATCCGTATACCACTGAATAGCATGTCTTTCGGTTACAAGAACGATGGATTATTGGCTCCATTCTTTCTAGTGCAGCCCAGCTCTGTGGTTTTGAAGTTTTTCACAAAACTGTACTTCTTTCTCATTTTATCTTGGGGCATATCCCAAATATCTTCGGTCCTGAAGCTAATAGATTTTCGTCTGACTATTCCGTTCTTGATCATTCTATATCGTGTCCTTTTTGCTATATTATCTATCATTAAACGTAGAGGGGCGAGGTTCAGTGGTGGCTGGTGGATAAGTGCTGCAGAGCTCCCAAAAAAATGCTAAATACATAATCTAACTCAAATATTTCCTATTAGGTACCAAAAAGAAAATGTATATTATATTCGCATTGTAATAATGTTTAAAAATAATTGGTGCTGGCAGCCGTGTACGTAAAGTCGACCAGTGGAATAACCTACATACTTACCGACACACACGCCTGCACAGGCTGTCGCTGAACTATTATTTATCTGGGCCACATGATGAAGCTCTGTGCGCTCTTTCAAACATCCGCGCGACACTCCGCTACTCCCACGACCACGGTTAAAACAAACCGGTGATGCGGTGATTGAAGTGGAACGTTCGCTGCAATTAGTCCAGCGCTGTGCATAATACATACGGTGCCGATTTTTTTCAAATTTTATCGCGTCTTTTGAGTTTACGTCGAGTTAAAGTTAAAAACAATAATTTTAAGGGTGCGTGTATTGTGTTTTTGTGTATTGCTGACAATTATCTGTGTACTGTGGAAGTGGTCTTCAAATATATTAACGTAAAGAAATTTTTTAAATATACATACGAAGAAAAGATGGAATTAAAAGCAAAAGGTAGGCCATTACCAGATTTAATTATAGAAAAAACTGCTGTAAATAGAGGAAAAAGTTACACACGAAAATTTAATAGAGATATTTATTCAAAAAACGAATGGATCTGTGGATGCAACAAAAAAAATGCTCTGTACTGTTTTTCCTGTTTACTTTTTGGTGGCGATAAAGCTTGGACGGAAATAGGGATCACCGATCTTGAAGATAAAAAACACGAAAACTCTAAAAGCTACTATGTTGTGTCCTGTTCTATCACACGAACTTCACACGTTTTACTTTCTCTCTCGCACATATTTAATTGCTCCGATTTTAAAACTTTAAAGCATGGCATTAGTATTCCATGAACAGTTTTTTGCAGGTAAGCCTATACGTTTATTTTCGTAACTAAATTATATCTCTTTGATTTTCAAACCGCGCACGTACACTGAAAATCTACAGAGCAGAAGGGAAAAGACGAGAATTTTCCTACTACCAGACGCAAATGGTGCAGAGCGAAAAGTCTGCAAAAAAATTTTTCAAGCTGTATATCAGAGGTTTGTGTTTTTTTAAGTTTTTTTTCGATAAATATTATTGTGGTAAACAGGCCGCGGAGAGATTCTGTTTTGGCTTATTGTATGTACTACTCTACAGTTCAGAAATATTTTAATAAATATGGTACTCTCGGAATTCTCTTGATGTTTTCATTCTTTTCAGGTTTCTGCTGGGAGAATCGATAGAATATTGAAGAACAAGTCAGAGGGAGCACTTGCGCCTCAGGACCGTCGGGAAAACATATTCCAAGTAATAAGACACCCGTTGCGAAAGAAAACGAAGTAAAGTCCTTTATTGAAAAATTTCCATGTTACGAGTCCCATTATTCACGTGAGAAAAGTAATCATAGAAAATATCTAGCACCGAACTTGAGCATAGGAAAGATGTTTGAGCTGTATAAAGCTGAAACAATGGATCCTGTTTCATATGCTATTTTCAGAAGAATCTTCAATACACAACTTAACCTGTAACCCACCTATTTTTGACTCATGCAGAAAGTGTGACTTTTTCAATGTCAAAATAAAGGCATCAAATAAAGAGCAGAAAAACAACTTGAATGGGGGTGGGTGGCTCAGTCTCTGCCTGTGGATCCAAGGGTCCCAGGTTCGAATCCCACCGTTTGCCGGGATTTATTTAATTTAATTATTTAAAATTAATTCTGATGCCTTGGTAGGATTCCCCACTCGACCATTCACTGTTGGGTTCTAATTAACAGTGCTGTTCCTGAAGTGGCGCTGGGAAACATCAACAAAGCCTACACAAAACACATGATTGAAAATTTAAACACAAACTTGAGACTGGCATATTGGGTATATACACCTAGGCCATAAATCGAAAAAAAAAAAACAACTTGAAGTAGATCTAGAACTCAATCAGAGGAAGGCAAAAGCAGCAAGGGATGGCCTGAAACATGATATTCAACGGGCGAAAAATAACAATATTCCGCATGCGCCATAGCGGTCCCCGTTTACCTTGATTTGTGCACGGGGGCGCGCGCAGCCAGATTGTTTCCCGTTACGAAAATCAGTCGATAGTTGCATGTGGACAGTCGAAGCGTGCAGGTCAAGTATTATAGTGTGTAAAATCCTCTCGTTTCCTGTTTTACAATAAGTCAGCGTGCAAAACGCATTTTAGATCTTGCAAAAAAGAGTTGGAAATCGAACTTTAGCGTTGGTAAGAATATTGAATTATTTTTTTCGTGCTGTAGTATAAAATTTGTTTTTAGATTCGAGTGCAGTTGATGATCCTTATCACTGTTCTTCGGATTCTTTGGAAGATCCAACATACCAGTTGAGCAAAAATGAGTCCGAAAGTTATTCGGAAAAAGAAATGAATGTACAAAAAATACCCGCCCGATTTCTCCGAAGAGGTTCAGATGAATCTATTGAAGTATATCCAATCCAAGAAGCGACTCTCGTACCTCCAGAGCATGAGGTGGAGGAAAATATTCAGCAAATACCAGGTATTCTTCCAGACGTTCGTGATAGTGACGAAAACCAACAAATAACTGTAGACGCGTACAATATCGAATGGAGTAATCTGGTGGGAAATCATCAAAAATTTATATTTAACCCTGAAAACACTGGTGTCAACCCACAAATTGCTGCCGCACTAATAGGCTCATGTCCCAGTGATTTCTTTTCATTTTTTTGTGGATGAAGAAATACAAATTAATACAGACCAAACGAATCTTTATGCGACACAGAAGCTTATGATATTGCGAAAAAGAGCCGTCTCCATGCTTGGACTCCAACAAACGTAGGGGAAATGAAAAAGTTTCTGGGTATAGTAGGTTACATGGGGTTAGTCAAACTACCTAGACTAGAAACATATTGGAGTAAACGCAAACGACTATATCAAAATAGCGTAGTTGAACAAGGTATGAGTCGGAATCGTTTCGAGCTTCTTCTGAATATCTGGCATTTCACAGACAACGATATGTGTCCTGAGAGCGATCGTGGATTCAAAATCGAGCCGTTCATGAATTTATTGATCGAAAAATTCCAAAGGGCATACACTCCCTCGCAAGAATTCTACATAGATGAAAGTTTGATTCCATTTCGAGGAAGACTTATTATGAAACAGTACATTCCAAAAATATGGAGTTAAATTGTCCAAACTTTGTTCTGATAACGGTTATATGTGAAATATAAAATTATAATGTGGCAATCACAGAGATGCAGAAATTTCTGTTCCGACTAATATCGTTATAACATACACAGCTTTGGTGTGGTGGCCAAAGACACAGCAAAGGAAAGCAATAACGAGGCTAAGCAAGGTACAAAGACTTGCCTGCCTCGGAATAACGGAGGCAATGAAAACAACCCCCACTGCTGCAATGGAAGCACAAATAGGACTCCCACCTCTTTAATATGTGATACAAGGGGAGGCAAGATTAGGTGCTTAGATTAGGGAATACACTGGGAAATCTTGACATTAGGCCAGGTCACATGAGTATCTCAAGGTTAGTGACAGGAGACGTGCTAGACATGAGATCAGACCACATAACCCAGAGGTACTCTTTTAATACTCCATTTGAGGTTTTAATACAGGAAAGAGCGGAGATCACCATAAGGGAGCCCAATGCCCAACGACAGGAACAAACCTGGTATACAGACGGGTCTAAGAATGCGGAAGGCACTGGGACAGGAGTATTCTCCAAAAACCTTGATACTAACCATAGCTATGCTATAGGAATACATTCCTCGGTATTTCAGGTCGATATATACGCAATTTTGCAATGTGCAAAAACGAACAATGAAAGAACTGTCGAAAATCAGCATATTCAAATGTCAGACAGCCAAGCGGCACTTAAGGCCATATCGAGTCAGAAAGTTACGTCGAGGCTGGTATGGGAATGCATCGAAGAACTAAGAATACTGGCAGACCGAAATAGAGTAAAACTATTGTGGGTGCCAGGTCACAAAGGGATCGAAGGCAACGAAAAGGCTGACGAATTTGCAAAAAGAGGGTCAGAAGAAACACCGGAACCAGACACAAACCCAGGAGTACCAAAAAGTACAGTCCGGGGTTTCATAAACGACTGGATTCGGGAACAACATATCAACTATTGGGGAAGCATCCCAAAACAGGCACATGGAAAAGCCTTCATAGGCAGA